GAAAAGTACTCTAAACTGTATAAATAATGTAAAATTAAATTGAATTTATTAGCCAATCAGACAAACTTCTGCCTATGGTGTGGAAACACCAACATCGGGTGTGGAAATACTAGTTCCCTAAATTTATTTAAACATTTAGATAAGTTTATTTAACATGAATAATACTAATACATAAAGATTTTGAATTTGAAGGTAGAATTTGTAAGTTCCAAAAGCCTAAAGTCTAGTTTTCTTTTAATAGTACTTGAATAAAAACGAAAGGATATCATTTTATTTATTGCTTTTGTACATATTTATACAAGCCACATTGCTGTGCTTCATAGCCACATGCAAAATATTTTGATTCACTAACGTACCTCAATCTTTTTCAGAGTCTTGGCGGATTTGATATTCGTCAAGTTTTACTTTCCCAGTGATTTCTACTTTACTAGGAGTTTCACCGGTTTCGTATTTCGCCATTTGCTAAAAATAGGTTTGACCGCCAACACTAGACCAAATACGTAAACCTAGAGATTTTACTTAATTGCGAAATATAATCATTATTTTAAATATCGAATGGTTAAAAGAAGAAAATTAATGGAGTTAATCGCGGAAATTTCCTAAAGTTTAAAATCAAAGTTTAATTCAATTAAACCAAAGTTGTATTTAAAGTAAGTTACAATCATAAATTTCTAGAATTCTCGCGTATCCTTCTGTGTAAATTTTCTTTGTTGTTTATTTTCGAATTATTATTTGTTTAGTGATTATCATTACGTACTGTAATTTTTTTTTTGTTGCTGTTTTTTAATAATTTTTGTGGAATAACGTAATTATTTTGGTAATTGAAACCCACTTGAAGATTTTCAATGTAGTACATATGTACAATTATAAGCTAATAGATGATTACACCAAATTAACTATTTTTAAAAAAAAGAAAAGCTACTTTTTTCTAATATTATTAAAAATTATTATAAGTTAACAAATAATGTAAAATGACAGGGGATGAATTAATATTTTGGCTTATCAGAAATTAGTGAATTTTCTCCTATCGCTAAGAAATGTGGATCTCTTGCAATCTGGGTGACACCTATTCTAAATCAATTAATAGTGTCATAAAAGATCCAGAGATTAATCAGCTGCTTATGTATCGATCAGCGGCATGTAAACAAACAGCCCTAGTATTACAACACTAAAAATTTCGTTACCTTGTAAAGATCTGAAGTAACATAATAACAACAAAATACACCCAACGTTTGGTTAAAAATAAACTAAAATAATATTTTAATAAAATCTTTATAAAAAAATAATACATTATTGACATTGTTAAGCGGTTTAAATTTATCAAATATGCTATATGTTAATTAATATACAGAAACGATATCTTTCAGTTCTATGTGTTTATTAATACACATTCCGTAGTATAAACATAATGTACAATAAAAACCACCATAGCATATTTGATAGGTAAAACTATCTTGCTTTGGCATCCTGTAAATAATTAATCTAATGCAGGTAAAAAGATTCAAGGTTATTAGAATGAATTCAACAAAGACAAATTCATATGGAACAAGTCCATTAATAATAATGCCTTTAACTACATCATGTAAAAATATGGAAGAAATATAGCGTACTACTAATAATGATATAATTAACATCAAAACTGTCAACCACCTGCAAATATTATCACTTATGAGAAGTGGAAGTGTCTTACGACCAATAAGCTTGTCACCCTTTTGATCACCCATATCTTGAACTTGAGCAGTGGTCATGATAAAAAAAAAGATGGCAAATTTATACAGACATGGCTTATTACTCAGTAATTCATATAAGCTAGGATCAGTGTCAAGAATAATATAATAGCAACTGGCGAGTTGGATCCACATGCCAACAGCAGAAAATAAATTTTTGTAAAAAGCGTTTTTTCCAAGCTTGAGAGTTTCGTTAAATACAATCCAGACTTGCCACATAAAACATAAAATAAGTGAGGATAAACCACCGACTAGATATGCTATAATTGGGTAAATAATACAGAAGGCAATTAGATGACATTTAGCACCTTCAACTGTTATAAGACCAGAAGCAATTGGACGGAATGGTTTATTTAGTCGATCTTCTTCCACAGAAGCTAATTGGTTAAACCTGCGCAATAGGATATAAATTATAAAGTATAGATAGAGATTATTATTATTAAAATAAGAATATTTATTATTTAAACTAAGAATATTTATTATTTAAACTAAGAATATTTATTATTTAAACTAAGAATATTTCTTACTTAAAATAAGAATACTTATTATTTAAACAAAGAATATGTATTATTTAAACTAAGAATATTCATTATTTATACATACCAATTAAAAAATATGAGATAATGGGTAAAGTAAATGATGACTTTGAATAAACACGGAAGTACAATATGCCATAAAGTATTAAAAAAATCGCCATTGTAATCAGCAATAGAACTGAAAAAACGCATGTAAAGCGCGCCTGAATATAAACAATAAATTAATTGTTAATTAAATTTCGCTGAATTGCGAATTGACTATTACGTAGTAGGGCTTAGGCCATTTACCAATTGCCATAAGCAATGGAGGAATTATGGCCGTTGTCCAATCAGCAACAGACACACTATACATGATAAGAATTTCATGACGAATGGTCATCAAAAGTGACCATAATCTAGATACGATTTTATAATCAGATCCTAATTTATTTGTATAGTATTGAATCGAATGAAATATATGAGTTTCCATGATTTTGACTATGTTATTATCGATAGAAATAAATTAAAAGACAATACGCAAAGAATCATCATTTATATATAACTCTGATGACAAAAGTTTTTGATTTGACGAATATCACTCACAAGAATGGACATGCTGTATCTGTGGGAAGGACCGTACTAAAGACTAACGTGTCAGATGTTTTATTGGTTACACCACCTGCTCAACTATTGATTGTTGTTTCCCTTCTATTACCGCCTACTACGCTATATCTGGAGTTGACTGAAAATTGGTCCAATTTTTTTGGGATGCATTATTTGAGTAGGGTGGTTAGAATGTTTAGGGTTAGGATTGTTAATAAAAAGTATATATGAATTTTAGTAAAATTTAAAGGCTCAAAATAGATCGTAATTATTACAAAAAAAAAACATATTACATAACCATTTGATAGCAAAGAATTTTGAATTTAAGTTTGCTTTAATAACTTCTCTAATAGGATTCGGTGGTTATCGTTATGTGTGTTGTAACAGGAAAATAGTTTTGCCTAGGTTGGGGTACAAGGCACAAAGGCAGAGACAAGAAATTTAGAGCTTGTTTTGACAATAATTTTGTGTTTGCTATTAATTAATTAATTTATTTATTAGTCATTTATTTATTCATTTGTCATTTATCTATTTATTTATTTATTAGTCACTTATTTATTAACATATTTAAAGTTATTTCGACAATATCTATACTATTAAAATGTATTTCCTTTGTAATATGATTAGTTAATTTCAAGTATAAATCTCAATTGGGTTATCTGTTGATTTATGGCGCTTTTTTGAAGAATATAACATTATTAATATCGCAACAAATCATAAAATCCACAGGTTTCCGCCGTTAAGCTACCTTCTAAACGTTTCTAAACATTATTTTAATTACATAATTAATTATCTATGTCGCAATAACCAATCAATATATGTACATAGCAAAAGAGAATTAATTTTTAATAATGCAGGGACGATAGAACGTGTGCAGGTATAATTCATGTTTGACAAATGACTATATTTGTATTGAATGAATATTCAAATTCCGATTATACCGAATCTGTCCGATATAGAGTCCAATCACATGTAAAAAAAGAGTTTTTGAAAACTAAAGTTTAAACTTACCTTGGTGCACTAATTGAAAAGAAGGGGAGGTATAGTAAATGGAGCATTGTTAATCAAAACGTAGAATAGTGAGGTTAAAAACTTTTATGAAAAACTAATTGTAACATGAGATGTTATTGATTAATTATCTATATTGATATACGTACAACATATTGTATATTGTTTATTATACCACATTACTATTAAATCTTTTTTAATCTCGAGTACATACATATGTAAGATGCTGCAAATACCATGTCACAATCAATCATAATTCATTATGCTGCTTTCTAATTGATGGCACCCCAATGATAGTTTACTTTATAGCCCCCAAAAATAATACTAACCCTTTTTTTTTTAAAGTTTGAGAAAATGAGTTACTAAACTTGTATGTGTAATCCATACGAGGAAAGAAATAAAAAATAAAATAGTAATTCAAGACCTATTGTAGTATCGATATGTTCTCAATTTGAAACGTCATACAGCACAAGAGTTGGTCAACATACTATCCAATCAGATTCACCTTGTTTTATTAACTCAGTTACACTACGTACTACTATGATCAGACACAGCATTGTCTGAATAAAAACAAATACAGCATATAGCACATACTGGGTGCTGTTAAACTACGGCAGTGTAATGGGATACATTTAAATCGACGCATTGAACAACTGAATGTTTAGTATGTCGCACTTGTTGCGATTTGGATCAAATATAGTATAAAATTATAATAAAATAACTATTTAAATAACTAATTTGAAATTTTTTTTTTATATTTTTTTAAAAAGATAACCTATACTATATTTGATCATGCAATTTATTTGGGGTTGCCACTTTAGATATCTAAAGTAGCACCTCAGATCTTCGTACATGTAATTCTAGTCAGGCGCTACTTTAGATATCTAAAGTGGAAACTTCAAATAGGCGGCAACTTCAGATACGACAATTATATAGTACGTATGAATAACTCAAGTTATTTTGATAATAATTATGTTTCACCAAATAATAAAGTTATTTGACGATACTTCATTATCATAATAACAACTCAATAGTCAAATCGTCGTGAGTTATCGGATAATAGCACATTGAATGCTACGCAACAATAACTTAATTATCTGGTTTTAAATTTTAACGTACGTACCTATTATTGGGCTCCCGAGGGCTCAGAACCGGGTCTGAATAAATTTAGAGTGAACAATTCAAATATACTAAATACTAGGTAAATGCATAGTATTGTATGTCCAGAACAAGTATTAAATTGCAAATTATATTACATTGACTATACGTGTTACAATTTGATTGGATGGTAGTCACGTGATGTGGCCGGACAAACAAACCTTGCATATCACCCTTTACAGAATAATATAGTGTCCTTCGCTACGCTCCGGACAAATTAAAAGATAACTTTATTTTTTGTGTCAAGATTCCCACGTCCTACAATTTTATCCTATCATAACATTTTATCATAATACAATCATATGCTAAGGCTAGTGCTAATTAGGCATAGATCATATTTCATCTTTGTTGCATTTTCGTTTATAGTAATGTCTATCAATCATTATTTACAATGTCTAATATAATATCTGACATTCTATTATACAAACAAATCGACAAAAATTATTCATTCTGCTCGATGATGTTTGGATAAAGTTTTTTTTTTTTCTTGGCTTCATCTCGTGCTACATTTAAATAATAAATCTTATTATAAAACGTTATTTAAAATAACAGGTTCTTAGTAAAGATCTCATTAACAAAAAAATGGGTTCTCTTACTCTGGCAATTTTGCATCTAATTCCTCAAACTTTTCAAGAATGGTTATCAGTCTTCTTGTTCATAATCTTGGCTTATTCAACAAAATTTTACTATTCTTATTTTACTCGTTATAGTCCTTTACCAGGTCCATTTCCACTTCCATTAATTGGTATATATATATATTTTTTTTATACCTCGCAATGTTTTTTTCCTAACTTTTAATAATGTTACTAAATTCATGTCTTTGTATTTTATTAGGAACCATTTATTTGTATCATGGTGATTTAGCTGAAGTATTTTTTAATCTTCAGAAAAAATACGGTGGAATCTTTGAATTATATAATGGTCCTTCACGTGTAATCTGGGTAGGGGATACTCAACTTATCAAGAAAATACATATTCCTTCAACAAAAACGAACTTTCCTTTTCGCTCCAGGCATCCATGGATTGATGAAGTTGCAATTAATACCGTTGGAAAAGGAATTTTTTTTAATCATAATTTAGAATCTTGGAAATATAATAGAAGAATTTTAACTCAAACAGTCATGTTACCTTCATTCTTACGACAATTCTTGAAAACTACTGAACAAGTTTTTAAAGAATTTCAAGGTTATTTAAATAATTTGCAAAAAGAGTCTAATAGTAATGAAGTGGATTTATCTAAATGGATTGTCAAAATTCAAGCTGAATTATCTTCTCGTACAACTACTGGTAGACCTGCAAATACTTTATTTTCTTATTATAATAAGCTTTCTTCAAATAGTTCAAAAGTCTTAAAAATTAAATCAACTGAAGAATTAATCATTCGATTTCGAACATGGCTAGTTACTGCTCAATTCGTTTATTTCTTACCAAGATATTTAAGATTTTGCCCTCCATTATTTTACTTTCAATGGAAACATCTGGAGAATATTCAATGGTTGGATAATTATTTAACTAATCTTATAATTGACAGAAAAAAAGAAATTGAAAACACTCCTAAAGTTAAGCCTTTAGGTCTTGACATTTTAACTATAATTTGTACCGCAAATACGGAAAGAGGTCCTCAATTTAATAAATCAGGTGATGAACCTGATGAACCTATGGATGATGATAATCTTAAACAAAATATGTTTGACGTTATTATTGCTAGCATTGATTCGGTACGTATCTATATAACAGTTATATATATATATATTTATTTATTTATTTATTTATATTTATATTTATATTTATGACTTTAATTACTAAACAATTATTCTAAATCTATTATTAAATCCTTTAATTCATATACAGAGCGCACATACCACTTTGATTGCATTGTATCACATATGTAAGGATCCCATTATAAAATCCAAAGTTTACGAAGAAGTCGATCGTGTTTTTGGCAATGATAGATCCCGTCCTATGACTTACGAAGATTTAGAAAAATTAACTTACATTGATGCTTGCGTTAGTGAATCTTTACGTCTATTACCAACCATCCCAGCTCTCTTTAAGCAAGCAACTAGTGATGATAACCTCGGTGATTTTAAATTTAAGGGTGGTCAAGAATTTTTCATCAATTATCATTATGTTCATCATAATGAAACTTATTGGCCTGATCCAACTTTATATAAACCTGAACGGTTTCTTGATAAAAATTTTGATAAACTTGGTTATATGCCATTTGGTGGTGGAATTAGGATATGTCCTGGACGTCAAATGGGCTTAAATACTGTTAAAACTATAATTTCTTTGATTTTTAGAAATTATACTATTGATTTAATTGATCCTAATGCTCCATTAAAAAAAGTTTACGTTTGGGCTAATGAATGTGAAGAATTAAAATTTTATCTTAGCCCGAAAAATTAATTAGAATTATCATTAAAATTTTTTTATTTATACCAATGAAATATCTAAAAATTTGTATCATAAATTCTATCTTCTTTAATATTGTTATCAATTTTTTTTTCTCCTGTAAAATATAATATACTTGAAATAAATATATTATACTCACTATTTTTCTTCTACTATAACTGTGACTATGGTTGACATAAATTTTAATTTCACAGTGTTAACTTGGTCCATAATGTCTTATTGACTTTTTCGCCTTAATGTGAACCTCTTCAACTAACACTAGTATAAGACACTAGTATATGACGATAGTCTATTAATAATTAGACCATTTAAAGTTAATTAGTTAGTTAACGTCATCTCCCCTCTTGGTTATCTGTTTAAACAGGCATGTACTGTACGTATAGTTCTTTTCCTGCATCTGATTGGCTGGAAAAGTGATCGGCAAAAAATTTAGCGTACAGTACTATACGTTGACACCAGAGAACCGGTCTCGGCGTGTCGGTCGCTTCTCAAACGGATACGTCGTGTAACCTACGAACGGCTTAGTC